AGATATAATGAAGATTTCTTTCCACAGAAGGGAAGCAGAAATTTTAACAACAAGAAACTAGTGGAGCCAACTATGGTTGAACGACATGTTGTTGTTAAGCATCTCGATATGATATGGTCCAAGTTGTCGTATTCGAGATTGGATTAGATGTGGAGACATGAAAGAAATTAAGATAAATCCTCCTTGTGATATGTTTCAAGAGTCAAATCAGAACAGACTCTACTCTCATAATTAATCCCTGCTGAGTCAGGCATATCTACATCTACACTCTTCAAAGATGATAGATTCCCTTTTTAAAGATGACAGATTCTCTTTTCAAAGATGAAAGCTTTATCGGATTTCTGCACAACTCCAAGCAAAGAAAGTTGGTTTTATCCAAGATAAAATGGGGCATCAAGGTCATAGTTCTGACTACGACAAGAGTTCCACAAATGAAACAATTCTTTTGACACTTTCATGAAGCAAAGAAACATAAAGATACAAGTTGATCAGATGGTTCTTCAGAAATGCAAGCTTGATAGCATAAGTTGTTACACTGATATCCAGAGGTGACCCTAGCAATAAATGATGAAGTGGAGGAAACCGAGTTCACCATTTTGAAGTCAAATGAAGATTGCATCAATATTCATGCATCATATTTAGACATTTGCAAATAGGAGCATTTTCATTCATTTTATCCATGTTGAATATTTGACAGGAATTTCAAAGATTTAGCAAAGTTCAAATCCATCATTCAATGGATCATATTTCTGGAAGAGTTCATAATGAGAAGAACTCATCTGAAGAAGGAAGAAGAAGTTCATAATGAGAAGAACTTGTTCAACTTTTCGCTTGAATTCATCATTCGATGGATCAGTATTACCAGGTCGAGTTCATAATGAGAAGAACTCATCTGAAGAAGGAAGAAAGTTCATAATGAGAAGAACTTGTTCAACTTTTCGCTTGAATTCATCATTCGATGGATCAACATTACCAGGTCGAGTTCATAATGAGAAGAACTCATCTGAAGAAGGAAGAAGAAGTTCATAATTAGAAGAACTTGTTCAACTTTTCGCTTGAATTCATCATTCGATGGATCAACATTGCCAGGTCGAGTTCATAATGAGAAGAACTCATATGAAGAAGGAAGAAGAAGTTCATAATGAGAAGAACTTGTTCAACTTTTCGCTTGAATTTATCATTCGATGGATCAACATTGCCAGTGCGAGTTCATAATGAGAAGAACTTGTTCAACTTTTTGCTCGAATTCATCACTCGATGGATCAACTTTTCCAGAGAGAGTTCATAATGAGAACTCATCTGAAGAAGGAAGAAGAAGTTCATAATGAGAAGAACTTGTTCAATCTTTTGCATGATTCTATCACAGAATGAGATAGATCAGCATCAACATTTCCAGATTACATCATAGAATGAGATGAATTGTCATCCCCAGTGAAAGAGTTCATAATGAGAAGAACTTGTTAACTTTTGCTAAATTACATTACAAAAGGAGACAAATTATCATCCCCAGTGGAAAAGTTCATAATGAGAAGAACTAATCCCAAAGAAGATTTTGTTCAACATTACCATCATAATCAAATGAAGTCAAATGAAAAAAAACTTATTGTCTTTTCGTCTTTGCCCTATTCTTGTTAACACAAGAATGAGCAAAGAGGGGCAGTTGAAGACACTAGTTTTTTACATTTGGTTTTTTATTATTATATTTATTATTTTTATTTTTATTACTACTATTATTATTTTTATTATTTTTATTATTATTACTATTATTATTATTATTTTATTACAGATACAACCCAAGGCCCAACTCTGGCCCGATTACAACCAGACCTGATCAGAAATGGCCCAAGCAGAACCCTAAACCCAACTAGGGTTTGTGTTATCACTCCCAGCCGCCATTGCTCACCACCGTTGGATCTGTCCTTGATCCAACGGTCCCCAGATGCTCCATCAAGAAACCCTAGGGTTATCATAACCCTAGGGACCACGCGGCGGTGCCCCTGAAGCCAACCAAACCCACCGACTGTCTTCTGCCAGGTACCTCGTCCAGACGCCGTCTCCACTGCCAGATGGTCCAACCAGTTGCTGCCGACGCTGCTGCTTCCACGACACCGGCCTCGTCGAGCTTTCCAGAAGCCAGCTGCCTCACCAAATCAGTGCTCTATGGTGAGTCACCGGCATAGCTTGGTGACTCACCAAGGATGCTACCCATGGGACCGGTCCGATGAGAGCCTCATCGAGGCTATAAAGCCTTGGCTCACCTGCAACAAAAAAAGGGGAGCCACGGCAAGCAAAAACAGAGAGCAAGAATAGAAAAAAAAACAGAGACCAACTCATAACAACCAACAATCAACCGAGAAGAGAGAATGAAGAGCTTACCTTACCGGAGAACCCCAAGCGACGCATGAGAAACAAAAATACCGAAGGTATTTTCCTTAGATCTAGGAAGATCCATAGCTTTTTAGGACGAAAGAAGGGTAAATCGGGTTTAGGGTACTCGAATTTAGAGTTTGGGGAAATTTTGGTATTCTCCGGCCACTAGTGACGGTGGCCGGCGATGAGGTTGGTGGCGGTGCAAGGCTGCCAACTGATTACCGGCTCCCCTCCGATGAGGGAAGCTAGAGAGAGGCGAGAGAGAGTTTTATAACTCTCTTAGTTTTGAGAAAGAAGAGAAAGGAAGAAATGAGAGAATGGCCCGTAGGGCCAGCCGGTTTCGGGTATTTATACCCCTTCCCAAACGACGCCGTTTTGGGAGGGGGATATCTGTAATTTCACGCATGGCCAAACCCTTTCCGCAGCCATTCGAGTTTTGTAATTATTCATTTTAGTCACTGAAACTAACTTCTGAACATTTTAATTCAGTCTTCGAATTTTATTTTATTATGTTTTAGTCCTTACCAGTATTAAATAATATATTTAGGATAAATATCACATTTAGTCCTTCATAATTTTATAAATTTTATTTTAGCCCTGAATAAATAATTAAGGTTAAATTAAACTATTAGGATATGAGTTTCCTAATATTTCGAATTTGATTTTTTATTTTCAATACTTTATATTTTGATCATATAATTTTAATTGTTTTTTATTACATTGCAATTTTATTGTTATTAATAATAATATTATTATTTTAATCATATTAATATTTATTATTTGATTAATTTTATAAAAAAATTATAATAGTATTTATTTATTTTTTTTAATATCAAAGAAAGAGGCAGTCTTAAAACAACTAGATGTATGTTTTCTGATATTTTTAAATAAATAAATATTTTACTTTTATAAAATTGTATATATTAATCTATTTTTTTATTATGAGATAAATGTTTTAATATTTATTTATTTTTAATATCAAAGGAAAAAACTGTCTTAAAGCACCTAGAAGTCATTTTCTGATATTTTTAAATAAATAAATATCTTATTTATATAAATTAATAAATTTCCTTAAAATTATAGTAATAAATTTAAATTAAATAGGATTATAAATTAAATATATCTTTGAATTTTTAATTTCTAATAATAGAGACAATTTATAATTAAAAAGTACCAATTTTGGGCGTTGTAGGGGTGCTAATCCTCCCTAAACGTAATCGACCACGAATCCCTTTTTATTATTAAAAAGAACGAATTTTTGGTTAAAACGCAGATCAGTTTATCTTTTAATCGATGTTTTCTTAAAAACTCTTTTAAATGATGATTTTTAGATATTCAACCTACCTAACCCAAAAGGCTGATGGCGACTCCCAAATTATTTTAAAACCATTTATTCACATCACTTTTCCCGCCAAGTAAAAAATTCGTGCCCGGACGAAAACCGGTTACGACATTATTTATGTAGATTATGTATAGTAAATTTTAAATTAATTAAAATATAATTATTTTATTGATGTAAAGTTTTTTAAAACATAATATGTACTAATATTTTTGTAGGATCTTGAAATTTTAAAATTTAGATCGATTGATTGTTGGCCAATTTTATTTTATTTTTGAATGAAAAGAGAAAATAATCATCTAAATTAAACTACAGGAGCAGTGGTCTGCTCGTCACATCTCCCTTTCTCCTCCATGACTAGCTCATGAACCATCGTCGGTGGTTGCTAGAACAATCTTTCGCCAAGCGGGAATTGTTGTGCGATCTTAGCCATGTTATCATTCCTAGGGATGTGCCTGATTTCCAAATTCCAATTCTTTCTTAGCAGTTGAGGTATATGTGGTACCATTGTAGACACCAGCTCCATCTCTTCATTTTGTATGAGCAGAGACCATGCTTCTTTGCTATTCGTTTCGACGACCAGGGTTCGAATGTTCGCCTCCCATGCAACAGTTAACCCTTTGTATATGCCCCATAATTACCCAAGTTAGTTAAAGATCATAGGGATAAGATTCATCAGCTACATTGTGATATATTTTTATAAATTGATATTTGATCAATATCGGGGATAGAGGTTGTCGTCGTGAATGACTATTCATCCTTTCTAACTTGAACGAAGAATCATAATTTATGGCTGTCAAAGATAATATTAGGATTTTATTCGGACTCGATAGGCTGAGTATGGGATATAATAGAGAGAGAGAGAGAAGATGAGGCCTGAGAATTTTCTTAGGTAATCTCTTGTTTCAATAGGAATGGTGACTTCTTTATATATTTGATGTTTTTTGGGTCATGTGACATTAGTAAATCAATAGATGGTTGTTACTAATAGATCGGATAACTAAAAGACAAATAAAATAAATAAATCAAAGTAAATTAGAATGGCCAATTCTAATGTAAAAAGTAAAAACCCAAAGAATCGACAATGAAGAGCGCCGATGGAATTAGTAATCTCTTTCAAATTTGAATTTTGAGTTTATTTTAAGAATACAAGTTACCATGGTTAATGCATGAATGACAAACAATATGTTTATCTATTCATCCCTGTAATATCCGGAGAAAAACAACCGGACCGGTGGAGGGAAACAGATGAGAGAATGACATTCATTCTGCAAAATACGATGCTCGCCTACTAGTTATAGCCAGGAAGATGACTCGTCTGAGCCTCGCAACTGTGAGAAATTCCGACACAAACCGACCTCCGAATCGGATAATTCAAACTCTTTTTAACCACTATATCCATAATCACATCATTCAAGAAGTCCATCGGTCCTGGTATACACCAATGTAGACAGTCGTTCTGAACGACTGCTGTTTTGTTCTCTGCAAACGGTCGGAACTGTCGATATGGACCGGGATGTCCGTCTGGCCTCAATAACAAGAGATTTGTGAAGTCGAGCAGAATAAGATTCACATCATAGTCAGCTGCTTTTGCCGATGCCTTGTCGAACTCTTCTAATTCAATGTCGTATAGAATTTTACTCAACTCCTTCATTTTGGCCTCTCCTGGTTTACCTGGACTTGTCTTCGGACAAGTCCCTCCGTTGTGCCATTCGCCGTTCTCAAAGTGATCGGGTGTGGACGTCCTGAAAAAGATCAGCCCCTTATGCTTCGATTTGACAATGAAGTCCATGACATAGTGGAGGGCTTTCCTGTAGGCATAGACAAATCCTAGTTCTGTCAGGTTTTTTCCTGGACATAAATGGCAGCCGACAATGGTGTCATTCTCGTGGTAGATTGCAGCCCTGAGAAACCATTGTCCGGTTGAGATTGTCATGTAATCTAAGCTCTGGTATATATCTTTCCATGCCTCGTCAAGTTTGTCGATATGCAACTGAACTTCGCCTGTCGAAACGCCATTGATATCTTCGAAAATAGCGGCCGTTACAAGAAAAGGAGACCAAATATTTGATACTGTGAGATTGTACAATGGGAAATGCCACCTCTTTGATTTGTTATCCCCATCGCGGTAAACTTCAACAGGCTGATCAACCTGAAAATTTTGCAGTCATTAATAACCCGACAACAGTTACAAAACATTATGAACAAGACAGTTCGAAGCCTGGTAAGAATAAACAGAACAATTTGCTGTTAAAATAGTAAAAATCTTCACTTGCTTGCCAAGCATTTTTCCAGACGATCCGGATTTGACTTAATAAAACTTACAGAAAATGGAAATAGTAACTAAAATGAGCAAGAATCAATAGCTATTAAGACTAGCACGGATGAAGCTCGTCCATTTTAACACATAAACAAAGCTTCTTAAGAGAGAAAATACCAGGGCTTTGATTAACACAAGTTCTTTTAGCAGATACTATGAGCTGCGCATGATTTTGTTAGGAAATAAATTTTAGGGGATGAAAACAGATTATCAATAAAAAATACAAAGAAAATATCTAAAATATACAATAATTTGAAATTTTCACGGGACGACTATTGTGGCCGCCTCCATCGGGCCATCCTGTATGAGCTAGTCTGATATTCTTGCTATCAGAGAATAACATAATAGTTTGCTGATGTTTATATGCTGGAGTGATTAAGCAATGCCAGATGCAATTGAGAACAAACAAAGCACATTAGCATGTCAATACACATTTTTTGGGGCGACCTTTCAAGGGCAACAATGGGAAAATGCAATGCAAACGTTTTCACAAGATTCAAAGAAATCACAGGATCAAAACCGAGCTTTAATGACAATGAACTATGCAGATAATAAGATTGTTCTTATGATTGAGGATGGGGAAACGAGACTAATATCGAGTTTACATGACCAAAACACAGTTAATATGGAGCACATACTGTTGAGAGCATGCACAGCAATGACTGCACATGGTTCCTAGAAATGGAATCACCAATCAAAGCCCATGCTTTGTTCCTCATCAACTCCAGAAATCTCTTTGCATTAAAAGGGGGTAATTTACAGTCACGAGGCTTCCACTTCCAGTATAGATATCCAGGATCAGGGCGGCCATTCTTCATACAATTCTGATGTTCTTCTATCCAGCGGCAGCTCTCGTTGGTGTAAATCGGGCCAGAGGGATTGGGAATCCAATCCCCTTTAAAAAGATCACATTTTTCTGTAAAAACACAGGTTTAAATAGTTATGACACAAAATTAAAACCAAAAGAATACAAAACAAATGAATGCAGTATAATGATACTAAGAAGAAGCAGCTCCAATTCATCCAATTCTATGAAATAATAATAAAAAAGTTCATCAACTTGAAAGACACGCATCAAAACTTTCAATCTTTTTAATAAAAAAACATCAGCAGATCTCAAAATACCAAAAGAACCCAAAGAGAGGGAATGATCATAATTCAGTTACCGAGAGGTATCTGATCTTTATTTTCAGGTATTGCAACGTCTTGTTCCGGAACTTGATCTTTCTCATGAATAGAAGATTGTAAATCAGATGCAAATCCATTATAATGAACGACGTAAAGCCTAAAAGTAAGACCCGAAAAGAGAATGGAAACTGCAAACTTTATTAGTACGTGATGATGCCTGTACAAAGACCATGAATTCCACTTCACAATCATTTGTCCCCCTTTTTTCCTGAGTTTTGTTTCAGAGAACTGAAATGGCTGGATACTTCATTGGGTTCTGACTCTTTTTACGTGGTTTTGATGGGATGAGGAGTGTCAAGTTTTCCTCTTTTTGCTTTTTCCCCCATCAATTATAAAGTAATAATTTTGTCTCAATTGAATATCTATAAATAGTAATAGTGGAATGTATCGCTGAGCAAAACTCAACTCATTTAAAAAATTGATTTTTTTTACTTGATTTGATTTGAAAGATTTAATTTCGAGTTGTGATTTTTTGAACTCCACTCTACTTTAAAAATTTTCAAGTTAAAATCAAGTTATAAAATACAACTCGAGTAACTCAAATGACTCAAAATATTTAGTAATTAGTATATTGATTTTTAAGTTTGAGTCGAGTCACTCGACTATGTATGATATATGTATATCACATATAAAAAAATGAAGAAATATATATGTATTGTATATGGTTATAAAAAAATTAAATTGGAATAAAAAAATATCATAATATTATAAATATTTACAATTGAATTTAAACAGAAATTGGAAAACTCAACTCAAATTTTATAAATTAGACTCAAAAAAATATTTAGTCAAATTCAAATTATAAAATAAGACGCGTTAATTCAAATAACATGAAATTTTTTAATTCGACTCGATTGAATGCTCATTCCTAGTGGAAGGCGATTGTTCCTAATAAAGAAGTGAATGAACAAATCTATAATTAATGTTTCTACCAGGATGTTTCATTGAAATATTCATGTTAGATCATCCATGGTGAACGTAAAATGTATATGTACTTCTTTATAGTAGGAGGAAATAGATTGTATAATTATATTTAAGATAAACTATTAAAATGGTGACTTTAATTTAATAAGTGTTCTTTTTGTTTATTGAATCTAAAAAGATAACACTTTGATTATTTTTGTTGTCGATTTATAATTTTTTATCACTTACGTTATTGATTAATAACATTTTGTTAATAAGACGTTAAATGTTGTTAGTTTGATGATGATACACATTAATATAAAAAAATTAATTTTTTAATATAATCTTTAAACTTTAGATAAAATACTAATTTGACTCCTAAATTTTTTATAAAATATAACATGAAACACTTGTGTTTATACATTTTTATTGAACCACCGCAGAACTGTAATGTAAAATTCTAGTGGTTTCAAAGAACGTGCCATGATTCAAGTGCTACTATTCGGGTGAGAAAAATTATACTTAATTAAAAAAAATCGAACTTTTGTATTCGATTAGCATGAAACACCCATGTTTATGCATATTTTTATTGAATCACTGCAAAACTATTATGTAAAATTCTAGTGGTTGCAAAGAATGTGTCAAGATTTAAGTGCCATGGTCCGGGTGAGTGAACTCGACTAAATTCGAAAATATCAAAATTTTTAATTTGACTCAACTCGTAATTTCATAAACTCAATTTGACTCTAGAATCCATTTTAGGGTGATCAAAGTTTGAGAAAACCCTAGAATCCATGTGAAAAGTGAGAAATAGCAGTGAGCCGTTTTCCATAAAATAGTAAGTTCCATGTAGAGATAAGATTTTGCAGCGAGGGTAATAGACTCTGAAACCCAGTAGCTGATGTAAAGTGTTCATATGTGTTCTAAGAGGAATTAATCACCGAAGTTACTTCTAATAGAAGTTAGAATTGAATTACAATCAAACATTTCTAGCATAGGTTATTGATTTCAACAAGACTGATTCTAAGATAGATTTTATTCGTACAATTTTAAGATTTTTCATTATAACATCTAATACCGGACATGACGAATGACTCGAATAATTTGAATATTACATTAAACTCTGAAATAAATCATACACATACGTATCCTAATCATTCATACTAAGTAACAAACACATAGAGTAAACAATATGATTATTCACACATTGGAACATAACATATATCATACGAAACTAAAAAACTCTAACAAGTCAATTGGCATCAAATTTTATAAATTCAATTCAAATTAAAAAATTAAATAAAAATTAAATTATAAAATATTACTCATCAACTTAAATAACTTAATTTTTTTTTAGTTTAACTCAACAACAGGGTTAGTTGTAGAATAAAAAGAGAGGCGATGTCTCGATATGGAAATTTATTTTTCTTGGCCAGTCCCAACGCTTATATTTTCCTCCAAATAGTCTTTTTATTGGTTTTTCTTATTAGCCCTTAGCCAATGCTTGCTCACTTTCACTCATTTCTGTAATCACGGGAAAGAGGATATCTTCTTCTTCTTCTCAGATCACCGGAGTCTGGTCAATCCCATATTTTGACCGGATACCCTAGGGTACCAACGAAACATATCTGGGTTGCTCCTTTTTTTTAAAAAAATATTCTTCTTTCTCCCCAAAACAATGGCGTCTGAGGATGTAAAAAGGAGCGAGTCGGCTGTCTCAACGATCGCGAATCTTGCGGAAGAAGCCAAGATAGTTAGAGAAGGAGTTAAACCGCCAAGCCATGCGTTCCTTAGTATTTGCAAGTCTCTTGTTGCTGGTGGTGTCGCCGGTGGAGTGTATGTCCCTTTTTTTTTTTCTTAAGATCCATTTTCCCCTTCTTTTTTTTTTTAATATTCGAGTGGTTTGATCATCTTTTTACATTGTTCAGAATGTTTTTTTTTCTCTTTTAGTTACTTCATCTAAAAATAAAAGTGCTTCCTTTTTAGCAATTGTTTTTGCTTGTTCAGCTCAGTTAGTTTTATAATTTCCTCTTGTAGAAAGCATGTAAATGATGTGGCTTTTTTATAAATCATTTCATTTCCTTGTTTTGGAAAGCAGTGATTTTTAAGGAACTTGCTCTTTTTTAGGATTGAGAAATTGAAGAAAGTAGTCTTCTTTTTCATCTATTGTGTTGAATCCTAGAAAATACGTATTTTTGGTTAAAATTCGTTTACTTTTACTTTTTTATGATAAAAATATTTTTCTGTATTTTTTATTCTCTGCTGCAACTATTGATACTCTGATTATGTAAATATTGTATTGGGATCTCTTTTTCCTTGGTACTTCTGAAGAAGGGATGATAACGATATAAGTCACTATTTAGTATTTATTGGTATTGATGTGGAAATTCTTGGAGATGCAAAATGTTCGTTTAAATTAACAGTTAATCTGTCACAAAGTAATAGTTCAACGTTGATAGTTTTTCAGGGGGGGAAATGCCTTTCCCCCCTTCTAGGATTTTAATACTTTTGTTGTCTTGAAAATGGTGGGAATCTTATGGATGATCTGAGGGAGAAATACTATACTGTTGATTTTTGGATGATTTTCTTCATTTGACCTGTTTGTACTCTCTGCTATGTTCTTGGAATATTTTTTTACCTGTATGTATTGTGTTGATTATGCTTGACTTTCCATTTCCAGTTTCCTTTACTGAATGCATGTTGTATCTATTTCAGGTCACGTAGTGCTGTTGCACCACTAGAAAGATTAAAAATTTTACTCCAGGTAGTTTATGTTATCATCATCATTCAGTCTTTCTTCATCAATTTGTCGTTCTTTGTAATGCTATTAGGTTATAGCCAGTTCCCAGTTCACTATTTATTTCATCATTGTTCCTAGCGTGAAGATTCAACACATTATCTATTCTCAGTTTTGTTAGTGCTCGTGATAATTAGTGCTTTACTTGTGCTGTATGTTTTGTAGAGTATCCGTATTGTGTAGTAGTTGTTTCCTTTTTTTTTTTACAGTGTAGACTGACAGGATTCCCTTTTTGAGCCTCCAGGTTCAGAATCCGCATAGTATAAAGTACAATGGAACGATCCAGGGTTTGAAATATATATGGAGAACTGAGGGTTTCAGGGGAATGTTTAAAGGCAATGGTACCAATTGTGCTCGCATTATTCCGAACTCAGCAGTGAAGTTTTTCAGCTATGAGGAAGCCTCCAAGTAAGCCTTTGCAGTTCCTTTCCTTGCCAATTACCCTTCAGTTGTTATCACGGTACAAAGTCTGAACTAATCGCTTCCTCTTTGTTTCTTTCTGAATACAGGGGGATTTTATACCTTTTCCGGCAGCAATCAGGAAATGGTACGTCTTTATAATAGCATTACAGTTGTAAATGTTATTTAGTTTTGAAGCTGATTGAGGTGATTCAATTTCGTTGTCTGTCATGCAATCATTGAGGCCAAGTTGTCCTGCTTATGAACTGTGTTGAATAACTAATTTTGTATGAGAAGAAACAAGTGCACTGGATGGTGTTGACAAAGGCCGTGCATCGCGTTTCTGTCTGCATGTGGTACCAGTAAAGTATGTGAATGAATCTTGTAGCGGTTCCCTTAGTACTATTATCTTCCTTAAACTAATTAATAAAACTCTAGAATAGTGCTGAATGGGAAAAAGTGAAATATGTTATATGGCCTTGATTGGCAGAAGATGAGTTTGCCATCTGTAGTAATTATGTTCTTCATAGCATGTTTACTTATTACGTTCGTGATTTAACTGTCTTGAAGAGGATGCACAACTCACTCCAGTTCTACGCCTTGGAGCTGGTGCGTGTGCTGGAATTATCGCCATGTCATCTACTTATCCAATGGATATGGTACGAGGTCGTCTAACAGTCCAGGTATTTGCTGAGATATTTCTGACCTCAATTGATATGACTTGTGTTGGATCAACTCTCTTTTTCCTGGAGAGACAGGCTTGTCACTTGTTATCACTTTGGTGGATAATGTCCACGTGTTGTACATTTGCAGACTGAGAAGTCGCCTCGCCAGTATAGAGGAATCTTTCATGCTCTTTCAACAGTATTAAGGGAAGAAGGACCCCGAGCTTTGTACAAAGGCTGGTTACCATCTGTAATTGGAGTTGTAAGTAAAACAAATATGGTCTTGATACCTGCATTCTTTCCTGTTTATTTCACTTTAGGGATCTGTTCAGATGGATGTAGACATCTTCTAGGGTGATGAATTCCGTTTCTGTTATCCCGAAATTAGTGCTTGCGTGTTGTGGTTTCCTAATTGCACAAGCTGTTCATTTGTCAACAATGAAGTCGGAAGTCTGTTCCATTCACTTTGCATCTCTTTTGACTTTTAGTGATGGATCATTTTCCTTATGTCTGTATGCTGAAGCATGAATGATTTTTATAGGTACCCTACGTGGGTCTTAACTTTGCGGTTTACGAATCTCTGAAAGATTGGTTGATCAAAAGCAAACCATTTGGGCTAGTTGAGGACTCTGAATTAGGTGTCACAACAAGGCTTGCATGTGGGGCTGCTGCTGGAACCGTAGGCCAAACAGTTGCTTATCCTCTTGATGTCATTCGACGTAGAATGCAGATGGTGGGCTGGAAAGATGCTGCCTCAGTTGTCACCGGTGATGGGAAGAGTAAGGTCCCTGTTGAATATACTGGCATGATTGATGCATTCAGGAAAACAGTTCGTTGTGAAGGTTTCGGAGCATTGTACAAGGGTTTGGTTCCGAATTCAGTGAAGGTTAGTGTAACATCTTAGTCTCCTCGATCAACTTCCCAATGTGCACGGACTGCATAATAAGTGTTTTTGCCCCTTTTTCTTTAGGTGGTTCCGTCGATAGCAATTGCATTTGTCACATACGAGTTGGTAAAGGATGTACTCGGAGTTGAGTTGAGGATATCTGACTGAAGGAACTTCCAAGAGTTTTGTTCAATTGTGTTCACCTTAATGAGCAGGAATTATTTTTCATCTAAAGGTAGGAGGATATTTAGAGCTCACTTTTAGCTTTTTTGATATTTCTTCCTCACTTATAGTCATTGTGTTCGTTTGTCTTAGGTTTACAGTTTTCTTATTCATATGTGCTTTTTCCAATAAGTATTTTCAGGGGTTATCAGAAAATGGTATATTTATACACATTCCGATAGACGTTAGTGTCTGCTTCTAAAGACTCTTAATTATTTGACAATGACTGTTCTGAATCTCTTTTAACCATTGATAACACGCACACACCCAACAAACATAACTGCTCGAACCAAGACCTCAAGGAGAACAACACTTCCCTTAACCTCTGAGACCACTTGATGGGTTTAGAATTGCTATTGATTTTAGATATATTTCAAAAGATATATTATATTTAAAAATAATTCTTTAAATTTACTATAAGTAATATATTAAAGAACACTTGTTCATACATACAAACACCAATTAAACTAGTCATCTATAGTTAAAGTAGTATTGGGAGTCTTTTCTTTCCAAAAATCATTTTAATTTATTGCCATGTTTTAAATTAATTGTTGAAGTAATATTTTAATTATATTTTTGTTTGCTTTTATAACATATTCCTTAATTAATTTATTTGTTTATAAATAATGGAAAAAGAGTTGGCTGATCTAAACATTGTAGATGATGAGAAAGAACCTTACCAAGTCAAGGTTTGGATAAGGAAAGGGGTGAGATAAGGAGTCAAGGTTTGATGAGGTCCTCTGAATCTCATCCGATTTTATCTAATAAATGAATAAAAATTTGAGTTAATGGCATCATATGTCCTCAAACCATGATCATATTTTTAAATTCGTCTTTAAACTTTTTAGATATTTTACTTTCATTCTTAAATTATTACTATCATTCTAAATTAATTCTTCAAATTTTAAATATTTTATTTTCATAACCAAAATATATCCTTTGTTTTAAATTGATCCCCAAATTTTTTTCAACATTCCAATTTCATCCAAACTATATGTTTGTATTAATCGCATTCTATGTTAATAAAAATGTTAGGTTAAGTTATACTATTATATTTTAAAAAGCAAGGTCGTGGTTAATATTAATTATATATTTGGATGAATTTAGGATGAAATTAAAAGATTTAGAAGTTTGGAGATCAATATGGAATGAGAGTCATAATTTGAGGATGAAATTAAAATTTTTTAAAGTTTAAGGACTAGTTTGAAATGAGTATCATAGTTTGAGAATAAAAATAGAATATTTATATGTTTAAGGATAGATTTAAAATGAAAACCATAATTTGAGTACGTATAATATAGTTAATTTAAAAAACCTATCAACAATAATAGTGGGCCTAGTGATGTAGGTCTATGTAAATCTCGGATTGGATGAGAAGTAGATAGTAGAAAAAGAAAATGTTATTCTCTTTAAAAATTATATATTTGAATTATTGTATTTATAGGGTATATATTTCTTGTTAATGACTATAAAGGGTTTTGAGCAAATATAATCATTGTTTTTTTTTTAAAATAAAATAAAAAGAGAAAAACAATAAATATATGATAGATTATCGAATCTAGAACGATTGTAAAAAATAAGTCGAAGAAATCTACAAGAATATGAACAGCTGGAACTGCAAATCATGAATTTCAAATTATTTTCAAATAAAATTCGGTTAAAAGTTAAAGATGGATGGGAAAATGGCTTTTTATGTTTGGATTAGCATTTTTGATTTTTTTTCCTACTGAAATAACACAATTTCAAACTTTATTTACGATTATTTGTACTATATAATTTGTTTACTTTTTGTTCATTATGATATTAAAAATGCATAATAATTTTGCACCATGTTATTATTTTATACAATATAAAGTGTAAAGATCAATAATAGGTTTATGTACGATTATTTATTATGATATAGCGATTATCGTTATTTTTAACTCCGTAAATTTTGTAAGCACGTCGTTCAAGATGAACGTTAAACTAGACAAATTGATGAGGAAAAAAAAACTTATAGAATAATTAGAGTTGGACACGTCATAAGATTATATTCTTTGAAATACAAATACTGGAATTCATTGATTCTAATAAGATGGACGGTGTTTGATATTAATGTTGATATTGATATGATGATTGATGCATAATACACGAATTCTATTAGTAACACATACATATATTTCGGTTTTGTTTACATCAATACAATTAGTTTGAGTTGATACATATATAATTTTGGGAAGCAAAATGAAGTAGAAAGTCCACCACAAATTATATACAACGATTTCATATAATTTGAAGGAAGATTGGATAAAGAGATAGCAACGTTATATTTGGACATACATTCATTAGTAAATGGCTCCGGTTTGAACCAAGACATGCATAAAACAATACGGTATAGTCTATAAACGGAGATCCCATCAAATTCTGTGAGGATACAGATTAGTTAGTTTCTTCGAACACAACCTTGGCATGACAACAATATCATCATATATTTCGTATGTTGTAACATCCCTTAATCCGATCCTATAAGAATTCATGGGTAAAGAATATCATATTGATTTATTAAAACTAAAAAACCGAACAAATTAAAGTTTTACTCGTCTTTCAAGTTCAGCCAATATATATATAAGGAAATCCAGAGAACAATTTGATAAAAAAATTAACAATATTAATTAGGCCTTTTTTGTGTGTGTAAATCTCTTGCTATTTTTTAGTAAAATTGTGACTGTATCGATACTTTATGAAAATTTGATGTTCCGAAATTCATCAAGATAGTCAAAGTATAATACTTAATAGAGGATGTCGATACCTTGGATTAGGTATTGATGCTATCTTAAAATATTAATAATGCTTAAATATTTAGAAAAATTATGATTGGGTATCGATACATTGAGGAGGGTAGCGATACCTATCCAAAGTATTAATCTTTTTCTGAGGTTTGAAATTAGAAAAATATACTAGAAATATGTAAGTATCGATCCTCAACCCATAATATTGATACCTAAGTACAAATATCGATAATCCATACCTAGTAATAATGTCATTTACCCATTTTGGAAATTCTAAACATTTAATTTTGCATTGAGTTAATACTTTAAAACTAGGTATCAATACCCTATAATTTTTATACAAAAATTTGAGTTTCAACCGCTTCAAAACATACTTAGTCCTAAATATAAAAAAAAAACCACTTGAAATGTAAAAACTAAAATAGTTAAATGTGGAAACTTGCTCAAAACATGCGATTGATTAATTGGGAAGATTTTTGTGAACTGTGAGGTCTGCAAAGCTCTTATGTCTGCTTTGAGCAGACCACGCGCAGACATTGGACGTCACAGGCCGTTTGTTTTTTAGAAGACACAAGCTATTCTAACGTCTGCGCGTGGTCTGCGTGGCGCAAACGTGATCTTATGTCTGCAGACGTCTTCTAACCTCTTCAAAGAGGTTTTATATTTAATTTTATATTATATTTGATTTTAATTTTAATTTTAATTTTAATATTAATTTTTAAATAAATTAAATATTAATTTTTAATATTATATTATAGATATTAATTGTAATATTAATTTTTAAATAAATTAAATATTAATTTTTTAATATTATATTATAGATATTTAATTTTATATTATATAAATCATTTTATATATTATTAAAATTTTATATTTATTTTAATTATTTTGATTTAAGTTTAAATATAATATTTTTTTGGATTTGTTATTTTAAATTATATTTAAACTTTTTATACAAAATGTAAGTATTTAAACCACATTGCTTAATAAAAAATAATTTCATTGTTTGATAATTAAGATTTTAAAATATAAAAAATTATAAATTATGTTTTTAAAATTTTAAAATATAATCACAATTAAATAAAAAACAATCATAAAATAATTTGATAAATTAAAAAATATTTTCTAAAAATATCATATAATTATAAAAATAAATTATGAATATATTTAAAAAAAATTAAAAGTATTACATAATTGCATATTTAAAAAAATCATATAATTTAATGATCATTTATAAATTTTATTCTATAAAACTTATAAAACTAATAATACATGTGATTATGTGAGACTTATAATAGAATTAATAAGGCGATGTTTGTTTTTCTAAAAAAATTATTATTGTAGTTGTATGAATTATTTAAATTTTAGTATTGTAAAACTAAAATTATTTAAACCTCAGTATTGCAAAACTCTTTTAAGTTTCAAAAATCAGTTTATTTATATTTCAGTTTATTTTAGCAGTCTGCAGACGTTAAAAAACAAATAGTCTTCTTCTTGCAGACTGTAGACTTTTGGTTCACCTCTTCTACTGCAGATGTGGTCCGCAGACTGCATAACTTTTACCTCTGCAAAAACAAAAACCACCTTTGTTTCTTTGGTTGGTTTTAGGATTCTTCATCATTGATATTGCTCTAGAAATGAATATTAAATATCATATTGAAGAGGGAGAGCTATTTTTTATCCATCTTTGTAATGACAATTAATGGTTGCCTTAAATTATCTAACTATAATTAGACCTGACATCTCTTTTGTTATTATTTTTTTTTAAATTCCTTCATACGAGAAGGTAAAAGAGAACTTTGTTCTTAATAGATATTAAACTCACAATTTAAGGAATATGAAAGATATCAACTAAGAACTTTTAATCATCTATTCTCAAGATATAATTTCTTATTTTTATAGTTATTTTGTACTGTTGTGGAATTCGGGTTAATTTCCACCAATAATAACAAATTCACCTTAGAAACTATTATCTAGGTGACTAGTGTGAAAACAATTGTACTAAAAATCACCCCAAGGTAGATTCCCAAGAAAGATGAGGGGTCAAATTGGTCCCTCTTATAACCCACTTTCCTTAGACAGAACTACCAAGACAAGTAATTTTAGTAGGACAATAATTAACAACAACTATACCCGACAATAGCTATTAAATAGACATAAAGAGAACACCAAAATTTAATGAGGTTAGGCCAAAATTATGCCTACGTCCTCAAACACTACTAAAATAATATTTCACTAATAGAGGAAATATTACAAAGAGAGAGAAAGAATACGAATAGCCTTTAATATAGAAGAAGGCTTATATTTGTGGGATACTTAACTAAGGAGGAGGTAGGCTCTATTTATAACAAAAGAATTTCCCCTCCTCCTT